ACATGTGATTGCATTTGGGGCCCACCCAGATAATCCAGGATTATCCCCCTATCTCAAAATCCTTAGCTTAATCACATCTGCAAAGACCCTTTCTCCAAATAAGATAACACACTCAGGTTCCAGGGACTAGGACCTAATGTCTTTGGGGGCTGTTATTCAGCCTGCCACACCAGGAAAACCTAGTATTACCAAAAGAATAAAGCAGGCAGCAGTGATTACAAGACGCCTCACACTGTCTCCATCACTGTGTATACTTGCTGCACACATCTTGTTATTTTGCTGTAATGCTTGCAGTCACGTATGTGATATTACTGACATCACATGTATCTAAACCTTTCGGATTCAAATTAAAATCTGACCTGCCCAACAGCCTCCAGAATGGAACAACTGTCTGACTGGGGGGATGTCTGCAATATCTGTGTTAAGTGGGCTGAAGTCTAGCTTCTCCTGCTCATCACTTGGCCGTAACTCTACCAACCACTCTTCCTTATTGCTAAACACAGCTCGTGCAAGGACACTCATGAAGAAGTTGGCCTACACGGTCGAGGTTAGTTTGGGTAAGAGGAATGTACCTGCAGCCCTTTCATTGGTGGGACAAGTTGGGTATTGGCAGGAGAGCTGGGACAGGACCCTTGGATTTATTAGCATTTTCTTTACCACCCTGATGCTCTGCACAGTTGTCCGTGGTTCTTGGGTCCCTGGGTTAGAAATACCTCCCGAAGTGGAGCTGGCCCTACCCATGGTTTATTCCTGCTTCTTGCCTGCACATTGGGCCTACCATCTGCTGGGAAACCAGCCTACAGCCTCCTCCTGAGGCAGAGAGCTCCATCCCCAAAGGGTTGAGTTAGATTTTCATATGTGCAAACAGATGGAATTATTAATGTCTGAGCAGTTTTTAAGCCAAAATTATGCTTTCACGCATTTGAAAATTGTCATTTCTCGATTTGTTCTCTAGTAATATCAATAAATCCCATATACTTAGTACAATGCAGGGCTGGGACTAGCCTGAGGCAAGTGAGGCACTCACCTTGGGTGCAAAATTTAAGGGGGTGCCAAAAAACTCAGAAATCAAATAACATTTTAAATGCAATATTCAAAAAATATAGGGCCGGCCCCGTGGCTTAGCAGCTAAGTGCGCGCGCTCTGCTGCTGGAGGCCCGGGTTCAGATCCCGGGTGCGCACTGATGCACCGCTTCTCTGGCCATGCTGAGGCCGTGTCCCACATACAGCAACTAGAAGGATGTGCAGCTATGACATACAACTATCTACTGGGGCTTTGGGGGGAAAAATAAATAAATAAAAAAATCTTAAAAAAAAATAAAATAAAATAAAAAATAAAAAATATAAAAACAGCAAACTATGGCCCATAGGCTAGCCACTTATTTTTATAAATAAAGTTTTATTGGTACCAGGGCCAGGATTAAGGTGAAGCAAGTGCAGCAGTCATGCAAGTGTTGTTGGATCTTGTCTTTATTTTTTCGTTTTTTTTTTGTGTGTGTGAGGAAGATCAGCCGTATGCTAACATCTGCCAACCCTCCTCTTTTTCTGCTGAGGAAGACTGGCCCTGGGCTAACATCCACACCCATCTTCCTCTACTTTATATGGGACGCCACCACAGCATGACTTGACAACTGCTGCGTCAGTGCGCGCCTGGGATCCAAACCAGTGAACCCCAGGCCACGGCAGCGGAGCGCGCTCACCCAACCACTTGCACCATCGGGCCGGCCCCGGATCTTGCCTTTAAAATACTGATGTTTTCGGGCCGGCTCCGTGGCTTAGCGGTTAGGTGCGTGCGCTCTGATGCTGGCGACCCGGGTTCGGATCCCAGGCGCGCCCCGAGGCACCGCTTCTCCGTCCAGCACGAGGCCGAGTCCCACGTACAGCAACTAGAAGGATGTGAACCTATGGCATACGGCTATCTACTGCGGCTTTGGGGGGGAAAAAAATGAATAAATAAAATCTTTAAAAAATAAATAAATAAATAAAATAAAATACTGATGTTTTCGGGCCAGCCTGGCGGTGCAAGCAGTTAAGTGCACGTGCTCCCCTTCGGCGGCCTGGGGTTCACAGGTTGGGATGCCCAGCGTGCACCGAGGTACCGCTTGGTAAGCCATGCTGTGGCGGCGTTCCATATAAAGTGGAGGAAGATGGGCACGGATGTTAGCTCAAGGCCACTCTTCCTCAAGAAAAACAGGGAGGATTGGCACTGGATGTTAGCTCAGGGCTAGTCCTCCTCACAAAAAATAAATAAATAAATAAAATACTGATGTTTTGTTCAAGAATCTTTTGCATTGTTTTGACTTTTTAAAATGATTTTCAAATAATTTTGATTTTTAAATTGATTTTTTTTTATTAAAAAAATTTTAAACCCAACTTTTCTTCAAGATAACCATTTTTCTTTAAGACAACCACTACACTCAGTATGGAGCAGAAGTGCTTCATGCTTATTTCCCAATTTGTCAGAGAAAAGATGAAAAAGATGTACTTAAGAATCAAGATTTAATAAAATTAATAATCTTTACTTTGTCATCAAGGATATTAAGTGAAATTGACTTTTTCTTTACTATGAGGACATGGTGGCCAGAAGTTTTACTTGCCATTACTTTTGCACCATCAATGCAAATGCCACTACAGTAAAAAAGGCAAAAAATGTCTTAGAATTATTATGAAAATAATTTTAACCCCACAGATCCCTTGAGAGGGCCTCGGGAAACCCCAGAGATCTGTAGACCACACTTTGAGAACCGCTGCCTTAAAGGATAACATTTTAACCATTTAAAGGTTAAAACTATTAAAGGCCAAAACCATTATCAATAACGAGCTAAGATCCTCAGTCAGACAGAGGCCACATAATTATGACTAACCCCAAGGTTAGTTTTGCAAAAATAAGTAGCAAAGAGTTGACGCAAATTGACCCATGTGTCATAGAAATAGTTCTGAGCAATCAGGAAATCTTTGAGGCTAAAGGTATGAAAAAGGTGTGAAAGAATCTGCATGCCATGCATATAATCAATGATCTGAAGGCATGGCCATTTTAGGGCAACTGAGTGGAGAAATACCACTCCACCTACCCCTCACCTCCCCTGCCTCTTGGGAATGAGGGAGCAGAGGAAACCACAGCAGCAGCCCGAAGAGCAAGGCAAACATACCCCAGAGTATCCCTAGGCTGTTCCAAGATCCTGGGGCCGCCTGCCTGGGGATAAAGCTCCCTCCTTCCTCTTCCTAGCGTACAACCATGAGCGAATTCCCAAACCACTCTCTGTCTCAGTCTGCTCATGTGTAATATGAAAATAATATTAATACCATTCTCATATGATTGGTGTGAAGAGTACATGAGATGATGTAGTTAAAGCATTGAGCACAGTGCCTGAGAGAGTAAATATTCAATAAATATATCTTATTAAAAATAAGAAACATAATTCTGTTCTGATGCCCAGCGTTCAGTAACTCTTCCCCACACATACAAAGGCTTAATCAGCCCACTGCCTTGCCAGTGTTAGGTGTGCACTAAAGGTTACTTCCTCCCTCCAGCCAAACTGGGAAGCCTATCTGGACCTGTCACTTTATCCATGCTGCTTTGAGTGTCATGGTTCTCTCACCAACAATTCACTGAGAAATCTGATGCTTAAAAATAAAAAAGGACGCATCAACACGCAAATTGTTATGTAAAACTGGAAGTGTTTGTTATATGGTAGAGCTATGCTTTATATTTTCTTAGAATTATTTTTATTGATAGAACACATGTTTGAAAGACAAAGGAATTGTTTTTAAAAACTAAAACTAGAAAAACACTTAACCCACCAACAGAAAACATATCAGCCTTGCTTTTTGCTAGTAGGTCTCTGTGGTAGAAAAAATAATGCCCCCTGCAAAGATGTCCATGTTCTAATTCCCAGAACCTGTGAATATGTCACCTTATATATTCAAAAGAGACTTTGGCAAAAGAGACGTTGCAGATGCGATTAAGTTAAGGACCCTGAGATGGGGAAATTATTCTGGATTATCCTCGTGGGCCCAATGTAATCACAAGTATCCTTAAAAATGGAAGAGGGAGGCAGAAGAAGTCAGTCAGAGGAAGATGTGACTACAGAAGAAAGGCACAGAGCGATGCAACGTTGCTGACTTTGGAGGCAGAGGAAGGGGCCACATGCCAAGGAATGTGGGTGGCCTCTAGAAGCTGGAAAGGGCAAGGAAACGGATTCTCCCCTAGAGCTTCCTAAAAGGAATGCAGCCCTGCTGAGACCTTGATTTTAGCCCAGTGATACCCATGTCAGATTTCTGAACTACAGAACTGTAAGATAATAAAGCTGTGCTGTTTAAAGCCACTAAGTTTGTGGTAATTTGTTACAGCAGCAAAAACTAATTAGAAAACTAATACAGTCCCAAAGGTATCCAGTCACCCTAGGTATGCTTCAATGTACAATAAAATAAGCAGGCAGGTCACCGGGGGGGGACTAACAACTCCTCTGGCCTCAATAAGCTCACCAGTGCAGCTTCTGGCCTTTTAAATGCTACAAGTAAGAGACTTACCATTAATGACAGTCCCACCCCTGAAGATTTGGATTCAAGAGGTCTGGGACACAAGAATATCCATGTTTAACCAGTGACTCTATTAGAGACAGCTGGTGGTCCACGCTTTGAGAGACATTCTTTTCCACTTGTAAGGAGCTTACAATTTAGGTGCTGAGTAAATATAATTCCAATCCCTAACAGGTAAACAAATAGCATACTTTCAAAGACAGGTCAACAGCCAGGGACAAGGGTAAAAGGCTAGAAATGGTCCAGACCACATAAATCCTTCCATATGCTTATGTTAACAAAAACTAGTTGTAGAATTAATCCAGATGAGATCTCTACCTGCTCTCTCCTATGTAGCTGATGCTTCAGGGCTCTGGAGCAGGTAAAATAGAATCCTGGTAGCCCTACAGACCTCTCATGGAAAAGCATCCCTGGTGAGCAGAGACCTAGCCGAACCCTTCTCAGCCTCCCACCTATCTCACCTGTTTCTTTATGAGGTGGTGATGTGCTGGCCCAGGGTGTGTCATCTTCAAATTGAACCCAGTTGCTGATGGCTGAGGCCAGGTCAGGTGGGGGCTGCTCCGGGCTCCCAGGAGGGGAGGCCACTTCAGAGATGAGGCCCATCTTTTCAGAGGAGTCATCTTGCTCTGAGTGGGAAAGGTCCTGAGAGCCTCCATCCACCACGTGGTTCTCCCCAGAGGAGCTCTCAGACTGGTCTGAGGAAGACAGCCCAGGAAGGTGCTCTTCGGTGCCCCCTGAAACAGATACCGGACACCACCATTACATCATGTGAGGAAGGCCACTCTCCTGAACTGTCTGATGGAGGCAAAAACGAAAGATGGGCAAGGCGTGACCACAGGACTCACCAACACAGTGGGTGAGGGCGAACAAACAGCCATCCCTACCTGTCTCTACACTAAAGGAGTGTTTTCCTAATAATGTGTAAAAACTATAACCACAGCATGTCCACAGTCAGTATCCAGGCAGGCTGAGACTGGGAGTCTTATCCACTATTCTTATCCCAGCGTCTACTCTAGTGCTTGGGGTTCACAAACTAAAACGCCTACAGAGGCCAAGACAGAAACAGAACTGAGTCAAACGGGACAAGCAAAAGGCAATAGGGACTGGTGGAGACTGTGGCTGAACAGGAGAGTTTCTGTCTGGACGAAAGACATTCAAACTTCAACCTCTGTGCAGTCCAAACTACCCACATGTGCAGGCCACTGGTGCAAACCCTGCACTAACAACCGGCTGAATGTGGCACACTCTTTCTCTAGCTTTGTATCATTTTATTGGTCCTGGGACATTTAACAGCCTTCAAAAAACTTTTTATAAAAAAGAACTATATCCTGATTGTGGTGGTGGTTACATAAATCCATACATATGTTAAAATTCATCAACTGCACACCAAAAATTGTCAATTTTACTGTATGAAAACTTTTAAAAATTAAAGTACTAATACGAAACTCCTTTCTCCCATCACCAGCCAAATTCGTCCACCTGCATGTAATCAAAGCCTGTAGACTAGGGTTGTGCAAAAGAAATAAAAGGGGAGACACACATATAATTTTAAATTTTCTAGTAGCCACATTAAAAGAAATAAAAAGAGGGGCTGGCCCCATGGCCTAGTGGTTAAGTTCGGCATGCTCCGCTTCAACAGCCCGGGTTTGGTTCCCAGGCACGGACCTACACCACTCATCGACAGCCACGCTTTGGTGGCGACCCCTACACAAAATAGAGGAAGACTGGCAGAGATGTTAGCTCAGGGCGAATCTTCCTCAGCAAAAAAATAAATAAATAAAAAGAGGCAAAACTACCTTTAATAATGTATATTTCAACTTAGTATGTTGAAAACTTACAATTCCAACTTGTAATTAATATAAAAATTGTTAATAAAATATTTAACTTTCACTAGGTCTTTGAAATTCAGTGTGGGTATTTTACACTTCAAGCACATCTCAATTCTGACTAGGCATAGTTCAAGGACTCAATAGCCATGTGGCTACCATATTGGACAGCACACCTGTGAACTCACACTTTCCAGGTGCTGTAAATGCAGCTGGGTTGATTTCAATTGGCAGTGGCAGCTGTGGTAGAACAGAACCAGCTGACGTGGCTCTGCAACCATCTCCCATATCCCACCTTGACCTTCACTCCCGAGCACCAGTTCCTTAGAAGTCAATTTGGCCATCTTCATCATGACCATGGATGACAATTACTGAGCTCTTTTCATGTGCCAGTCACTGTTGTAAGCACTTTACATATGTTCATTCATTTAGTCCTCACAACCACCGTGAGGTAGGCAGTGTGATTACCCCTATTGCGAAGACAAACCACCACACAGAGAGGTTAAAGAAATAATCTACCCAAGGGCACATCAGTCATCTGTGATGGAGCCAGGATTTGAGCCCACGAAATCTGGCTCTAGGGCCTGTCACTCTGAACAACTACGCTTTAAAAATGGAGAAAATCGAAATTGCTGCTGGGAGTAACAACCACAAAGGCTGAGTGTAAAGTACTTTGTAAGCACGAAGTTTATGCTCCATGGAAGAAAGCGGCCAATACTTTTGGCATTTCCAGGCCCTTGTTTGGGGCCCTAAAGATCCTAAGATGCTTCCTCCAGGCTTCTGCACCTCAGGAAAGTGACAAACTGGCTCCTTTTTCCATATTAAGAACCCACCCAGGGGGCCAGCCCCCTGGCGTAGCGGTTAAGTGCGCGCGCTCCGCTGCGGCGGCCCGGGTTCGGATCCCGGGCGCGCACCAGACGCACCGCTTGTCAGGCCATGCTGTGGTGGCGTCCTAGATAAAGTGGAGGAAGATCGGCACGGATGTTAGCTCAGGGCCAGTCTTCCTCAGCAAAAAGAGGAGGATTGGCATGATGTTAGCTCAGGGCTGATCTTCCTCACAGACACACACACACACAAAATAAATAAATATTAAAAAAAAAAAAAAAAAGAACCCACCCAAAGAACGATCAAGTAGAAGCCATAACAAGCAGGTGTGATTCTTTCCCAATCTTTACACTTACGAAATGAAAGCACTCCTTACCCTCAGAAGGGACAGGAAAGAGTGGCTCCTCATTGAAGGAGACCCACTCCGCCTGGTGGGTAGCGATCACATGGTCCAAGGTCGTCATGCTAGGAAGGCGCTGGTCATCTTCACACTGCTGGCCTCAGGCAGACCCCAGAGTAATGCCTGGGGTGGGGCGGGCGTATGGTACCACAGTGGACTTGGGCCTGGGGTCTGTCATGGGGGTCTTGCAGAGGGCAGCACCCAGAATGTAGACAGATAAACCCCTCCTGCCTTTGGTTGATCTGCCAAGCAGAAATCTGTTTTAAAAAATAATAAAAATTAAAAAGGATAACAATTGTATTATACCCAATCCACACAGGTCTAGGGCTCTCAACACTGCCTACGAGGAGGTCTGAGTGGTTTCCAACTGGCCTTACTTCTCTCTGCCCTTGTCTTGCCCCCATTTCTTGTACCGAAATGTCTGCCTTGAGCATCAGGATTTCTGCATATGCCTTCACATCAAACTTGTAAATAATCACACAAATTTTAGCAATTAGATTCCCAAATTTCCTCAGGTATTTTAGAAATACTTTTACCTATAATACAATGCCATCAATGTAAAACAAATATTAAAACTTTGCAAAGTACTTGCACTTTCTTTTCCCAGATGGTGAAAGAAAAGTATGTTCTTTCCTATTAAATCAGTGCAGTTTCTTGCCTTAGGCAGGTAGCGCTTTGCAAAGATTTAAATCTTTGGCAGAAACCCAACTATCTCCAGATGGTATCTCCAAGCAGGGTTTACCCATCAGGAAAAATAGACATGGAGTCATCTTGTTCATCTGGAGTAAGGGGGTAGGGAATGTTTGCTTTAGTGAAAAATGGGAGTTAAAGAAACTAGGCCAATTTGAATTAGTACATAAAAGTCTAGCCTTTACTCCCACTGCAATTATGGTCTACGTATATAGAAGGATACTTCATAGACTTATAATTCTGTTTGTGCTATTAATGTCCATTTATAACTTGAATCTAGCTGTTGATCTTGTAACGAATTAATAAAATCTGAATTAACACAAAATTAACACGTTTCCACAAAAGAGCTACTATCCACTTTGTACAATATCAGTTCTTATTCACTGAATACTCACAATATTCACTTCAGTCTAGAACAATTCAACTCATAGCCTTCTAACTTGTGCACAAGAAAAGGAAAATGTTGAGGATTTTTTACTACACGTTATTTTTGTGTGTGTGTAAGGAAGATCAGCCCTGAGCTAACATCGGATGCCAATCCTCCTCCTTTTTGCTGAGGAAGATTGGCCCTGGGCTAACATCCGTGCCCATCTTCCTCTACTTTATATGGGATGCCGCCACAGCATGGCTTGACAGGCGGTGCATCGTTGCATGCCTGGGATTGGAACCTGCGAACCCCAGGCCGCCAAAGCAGAGCGTGCGCACTTAACCACTGCGCCACTGGGCCAGCCCCCTACAGGTTATTATCTGCAGTAAATAATCTGTGCTGGGAAAATCAGAATAGAAACATTTAATAGCTTTTTCTTTTTTTGGTAATTGAAACAATCAGTTCTGCTGTACAACACTTCCTAAAAACAACTGTATACAATTTATAATTTTCAGAAACATATTTCATACTATACTTCATTTGATTCAACAGCCATTTTAGTTGGGTAAGACAAATATTACTATAATTCTTTTACAGATGAAGAAATCTGGGCTGAGAGAAGTTAAGTGACTTGTCCAACACTTGTTTATTTCCAGGCCCTTGTTTGGTGCTGTAAGATTCCTAAGATGTTTCCTCCACGCTTCTAAATGGAAGAATTCACACATCCCAGGACAGTGACAAATGGACTCTTTTTTTTTCCATAATAAGATCCCACCCAGAGAATGTTCAAGTAGAGGCCATAACGAGCAGGTGTGTTAGACGCACCAAGCTAGGAAGTGATAGATACAACCCTTGAACCCAGGTCTTCTGATGCCAAAACATCCTAACCTTTGGATCACAGTCACAAAAAGTACTAGAGAATATATATAGACTATCACCCAACTAAAGTACTATACAAACATCAATTACAATGGAACCGTAACGAAATCATCTGTGAAACTCCCCATGTGGAAATCTGCCAGGGTATCCAAGCTGTATGGAGCATGGAAAGCCCAGAGATCTCTCTTCCAAGTCCCTCTCCTAAGATCCTTACCAATCACGGGACCAGACGTGTGCAAACAGCCTGCAGAGTGCAGTGCCCGGAAACCAGATCTCACCAGAGAACCACACAGAGCCCACAGACCCAAAGAGCTGATTCCGGCAGGCTTCTCCCATAAAGCCTTTCTCAAGCCTCGTCAAGTGTTAGTGTCACTCACTGTGGTAATGGCTGCAAGCCAAGATAAGACAGTAAAATTGAAGAGTTGGATCCTCTTCTCTCAACAACAGCAGCATATAAACCAGGTCCAACAATAGCCAAAAAGCCACAATACAAGTCCATGTGCTGACACACGCAATGTCACAGTTCAATGGGGAAAACATCCTGCCAATCCCGTGATGATGAATCCAGCGATATTCATGGATGAGTGTGGGTGGGGAAGCGGGTGGGGGGGGGTGTGGGGGAAGAGAAGGAAAAGGGTGAAGGTAATGGGGAAAATAACTAGAAATTTTAGAGCTCGAAGGTTTTAAGGACCAACAGTCCAGCTCTCAAGTTTTACAGATGAGAAAACTGAGGCCCAAGGAAATCAGGTGTAAGCAAGAGAGATTGGTAGCATGGGCCTGGGAGTTGGAAGGTCCAGATTTGAGTCCTGTACAGTCTTTAAAACCTCAGTTCACCCCTCTACAGCAAGAATAACAAAATTTACTTCATAATTTTAAGGATTAAGTGAGATAATATACCTCAAGTGCTTAGTACTGGGAGTAATAAACCCTCTGTCGCAATGACGATGACAATAGCAGGTGAACTTAAGAGGCCTTACTAGGTGCCAGGCCCCATCCAAACTCTTTACAGGCGTCATGGTAGCCATCACTGCTGTTGTTAAATGACTCGTCCGAAGTTACACAGCCTCGTTAGCGGAAGTCTTGGGATCAGAATGCAAATTTCTTGAAACCACCCCATTTCTGTTATTATACCTTCTGATTTTAGTGAATTCCCTTTTCAGTCATTTTTTGAGCAGTTCTCCTAGATGTTAAGTAGAGTCAAGCACTCATCCTCTTCTTTACAGATATAGGCACATTCTGGCTGAGGAACCAAGACTATTACTCAGAAAGTATAAAGGAAGAGCCCCTTAGCTTGTCCATCTAGATCCAGACATGGGACGGTTACCAGTAATGAGTAGTCCCAAGAAAGCCTGGCAGAACAAGTTTATTACAGGAACCTCCTATCATAACTCTGTTAAATGGATTCCAGATATCTGCCATGAAACAGCCACGTCCAAAAAGCCACGAGATGCTAGACCTTGAGGAGTGCTGTGCTAGCAGCTGGAAACCACAGAGGAACCCAATAATTGTGAGGCTAAGTTCACCCTGGAATTGGTTTCTCTGTAAAAACCTCACCCCATTTTTAGAATGTGAATCATAAAGCAAGGCTTAGAATCACCACAAATGAGTAGTAACTCAGTATCAGCAGCAGGACTGACCAAGAGACACTAAAAATTTCATTGAAGTCTCTGGGTTGCCACTTCAGAGAGAAGCTTCTTTCTCAGCACCCCTTACACACTAAATTTTGCGGGGTGGAGAATGCAGTTAGCTGGTGAGATGGGAGTCATAGAAATAGATTTGTTTTGTGTTGATCCTCTAACATGCATTCACGAGCCCTATGTCTGGAAATGTACGAAGTGCCCTTTGAGTAGTGACCTGCAGCTTGCAATCTAGCTGGGGAGACAAAGATACACAGAATAGCAAACACAACAAATCTGGGAATAACTGCCTGCTAGAAGACACACTGGAAATGCTGTTTAGCCATAGAGAGATCTGCAAGGGCTGGAACCACTAGGGGCCGGGCAGGTTTGTTGGATCTGAAGGGCATCCTTTGTTCTGGACTGCCGGAACGGAAGAGTAAGGACATCCTTGGGACAGAGGATCAGCTAAGTGAAGATTAAGAATCAGACCTTTGTGGGGCTTGTTTCTGGGCCAGTGAAGAGGTCAGTTTGATGAGAGCTGAGGTTTCTACTGGGGAAACGTGGGGAGCAAGGATTGATGGCCTTAACAGCTGAGGAGAAGAATTCAGTGGGAAATGGGAAGCTGCTGAAGGTTTAAGAGTAGCGAGTGACTCAAGAAATACGCCTCAGGGAGATTAACATTCCTCAGACTGTACTGAGCAGGAGGTTGGTGACGGAAGCTATCGGCCACAACAGGACCTCAGTGTGTCCCACACAGTCAGGGGCCAGCATCATCAGGAATATGTACTGGGTTTCTGTGCTGGGCCCGTTCTAGGGCCGGAGGGCATAAGGAAGAACAAGACAGCATCACTGGCCTTAGGTAGCTTACAGTAGATTGCAGGGAGGTATGAGAGCAACATTAAACAATAACACAATAGGCTCTCTAACCTATTGTGACAGGTTATCCAACAAAACAGTAAGAGCAAAGAGTAACGGCCTTAAGAGACTGCTGAGGGCAGTAAGCAGTCATAAGTTACACCTTAAATTGGAAAGGAGGCTCTGAGCAGAGCAGACAGGCATTTTAGGAAGGGGGAGCAGGAGTGGCACGTCTAGGTGACAGTGAGTTACGTTCTGTTTATCTGAAGAGGGTGGGAGTGGTATTGAGTGCACTGGAAAAGGAGGAATTGGAACAGTGACAGCTCTAAATTTCAGAATGAGTTTGAACTCTTGAAACTACTCTTTCCATTCCCACTGCCAATGCCTTGGGTCAGCCCCTCACTGCCTCTCATTCAGATGATTACTAGTTTCCTACTTGTCTCCCTGCCTTCAGCATCATCCCCTCCAACCTACTACCCAATCTATTGTGCCAGAGCGGTCTTCCTAAAACCTGAAAATGCCCATGCCATGGCTCTGTTTAAAAACTCCCCGATGGCTCCACATAGCCAGAAACTCCTTTCCTCCTTATGTTAGCCAGAGTCAGTTTGCTTGCAACCAAGAACTCTGATATATGGTGCCCTTCCTTGACTCCCACTAATCTCACTTGTCCCTTATTCCCCACATCTTCTGTATGCTGACAGTATCTTACCTACACTCATTTCTCATACTATAATGAACTCATTTGCTAATGTGGCTATCACGCCAATTAGCTTGTGAGCTTCCTGAGGAAAGAGACTGGATCTTTTTCTTGTGGCTGTCTCCAATTCTTAGAACAGGATCTGGC